GGGGGGGGGGGGGGGGGGGGGGGGGCTCGACGGAGCAAGGTTATGCTACAGTGCAAGATGCTTCTGAAGATGCGCGTGCTGCGGCGGGACTGCGAAGGACAAGAATGGGGAGTCGATGTTGTCAGCAGCGTGCGAAGCGGGCGAGGTACGCTCGGCGAATCTCGACGAGACCGTGCAGCGCCATGTGCCTCTCGCCTTGACCGTGGCAGAGCGGAAAAGGGCTTTCCGGCATCAACCTTGCCGACTGACTTACGAGAGGATGAATCCGAAAGAGAAGAAGAAGACGAGCGCGTCCAGTTCTTGGCGCTTGTCTTGCAGAAGCCTCGCTGCGAGTGGTCCGGGATGGCGACGTGGGCGAATGTATGGCCGGAGCTAGTAGTTTGATCCAAAAACCGGCGTTGATCTGGCCTGAAACGTTCCGGGCTGTGCTGTGCTCGTGTGGCGTAGCAAAGTTGTGGACCGAGTGCCTGCGTCGAATAGGGAAAGGCGGACATGAGCAAGTCTACGAGGAATCCATGATGTGAAGCGGACTGGGCGAGATGTTGCGAGGGCGATGCGTAATCGAATGTCGGAGACGGATGCAAATGAAGGTTGGAGATGCAGCAAATAAGCAGACGCCAAGAGGTTGTTGCCGATGGATATGAGCAGCCGAGATTGAATCACTGGACCGGCGACGTTACGGACCAGCAACGAACGAGCGCGCAAAGACAGACACCGGGCGATTGCGAGTGACTGGGTATGGGACCGAAGTTGGCGAGCAACGGCCGATGCTGGCGAGTCCAAAGCGGGCCGGAAGCAAGGAGATGGTGTAGGCGGCAGTTGCGCTTTCGAGGGAAGGGGTCGAGAAGGGCCAGCCGGAGCAGTCACGGAGATGATGGTGTTGAGCTCGACTCGCTCCGATGGGACGTCGAGGGGGGAGTGACGGTTGGGTGCAAAGCCAGGCGAAGGGGGGCAAGCCGCCGTGGCTTGTTGTGATGATGGACGGGCAGCCAACAACGCCTTCGGACGCGGAAGCGGCCCGAGTAGCGAGGATATGGGCCGTGGCCAATGCGATGCTGAGCCGAGCCGATGTCAGACCTCACTCACCGTCGGCGTTCGGCGGGCGGTCGGTGGCGAGCGTGGCGAGAGGTGGCGGGCGTGGCTTGGAGGACGAGGGCGGCCAAACCAAACCAGCCCAGCCTGAGCAGGCGAGCAGCAGGCTGCCATCCGAAAAAGCACAGCTTATGCACACGCGCGTCGGACTTCTCTCAACCAAAATCCCAAGACGGAGGGCGAAATTAATGCCAAATGCCAAAAGCAGACAAGGCGCCAAGTGAGCGGCTGCGGCGCGTGTGGACGCGCGGAGATGGCAGACGCGAGTGTCGTGGGCTCAGCAGCAGAATACATGTGCAGTCGTGCAGGCCTGAATCGACGCTAGATCGGAGGATGAATTGCACGAGGCAACAGCCAACAGCACAGCAGCGTCTCATGCTGCGATGGCCCAACATCACCCGGTACTTTGGCCCCGACCTTTCCATGCGGTTTCCTTGAGTGGACCAACGTGCCAAGATGCGGACAAAGACCGGTCGTGATGCCCTCTGTGAATTGTATGTGGTTGGCCATTCATCCAGTTTGCATCGGCCTTGCTGCTGCTCTGTGCTGAATGCCATCCTCGGCCCAACGACCCAAAGGCCCAATAATCGTTGCCGCCATGCCATGCGAGCCGAGGCGCGACGGCCGACTTGCCGTCGATGCTGCAGGTGAGTGCAGTTGAGTCTTTTCCAGCTGAAAAGTGCCGATGCTGTCTTGCCGCTCCGTCTGCTCATGCTCGCGAATTCACGACACTGTGCAGCCTGTCAAGAGCCTCAGCAAAGCTGCTCAGCAAAGCTGCTTGACGAGCCAATCCGAGCGCGGTGCAGCAGCCAGGTTGAACCGGGTCTGGCGCTCCGCATGAAACGCGCTTGCTGAGGCGCGTCTTCAGGGTCGCTCGGCTCCAAAACCGGACGTCGGAGCACATGGAAAGGCGACTGAATTGATTTGGCGAGCTTCCAGCGTCCGTGCGTGTCGCATCGGAACGCACAGAAAACGGCGAAGCGCTTGCATTTCGGCCCTCGGTCTGACGGTGTCCAGATGCATATGCCTGCCTTTGCCGTCTCGGCGGAGTCGACGCAACATTGCGGCTCACGCATTCAACCCTCGAAAGGCCATGCGCAGCCGCAAGAGTAGATTTGTTGTGCTGCCGTAGATGTATAATCGTGGTCGATGAAGGCCGTTGCGGCACAATGCGGTTCTATCGGCGTGGCAACAAGCTCGCTATCAGAATGGTGAGGTCGGGACCGGATGCTCCGAACAGGCGGGCCATCCTTCTCAAAGACACGGACCAGGCACATTCTCGAGCGACATCTCTTTCCTTCCTTTCTTTTTTCGTCAGATGCCAGGCTCAGACGGGGTTTAGGGCTTTGAGAATTAAATATTTTTCAATAAATCAATTGTTGCGAGTGTTTTCTGAAAACATCACAGCGGCGGCGTCAGCTTAGCCCGACCCTCGCAGGGGTGGAAGACAGTCTCACGCCAACGGAGGAGATGGCATTCAGAAATGACAGCTGTGCTTCGATGCTTGGTTCGTGACGCCGGTTCAGGACGTATCGGACTGGCAAATTAGCATCGGAAGATCCGCGGATTTTTCAGCGCTGCACGCCCCAACTCTACGGCGAAATACGAGCTGCCGCCAACAGCTGCAGATCCAAGTGGGTCCGGTGGACTGGGTCGGGCGGAAAGTCGCAAAAATCGAATCAAATCGAATCGAGAGGGACGCGGAAGAAGCGCCGAAATGGTAATGCAATTCTTCTTGCGAGCGGGTCATGGTCCGAGCTGACACGCCTACTTTGTATGCGCCAGCGACAGAGGATATGCCTACTTGAGAAGTCGACATGCAAGTGAGAGACAGCCACAGGGTCGGACAGCAAGACCTCTGAAGGCGTCCAAGCTTGCAGCTCGGTCAAGCCGAACCTGCATCGCCAGCTGCAACGGCGAAACCTCTTTTTCTCACGCTTTTCGGCGTGAACCTTAAATGAAAGATCCGCACCAGAGGGAGACGAGCCGCTGAGCCACGTCGCGAACCACCTTACGTAGCTGCAGGCCCGTCATCATTGTATTCTCGCGGGGTCACCCGTCCATTGTGCCTGCCAAGCTCGGATGCACATTGAGCACTGAACAATGCCTTCGAGAGTAAACTCACATCGAGCGGACCGGCAGATCCGACCGCTGCGTCCGATGAAAAACGGTCGCAGATCCGGGCCTGGCTGGTGCAGGCTGAATTGAAAAAAAAGTTCCGACAATTGGTTCTTCGGGCCGGAAGACCTTCTCGCCTGTGTCCTCTGCTGAAGGAGGCGGGAGCTCGAATCAACGTGACCCAGCGAGATAGCCCAGCGAGCCCTTGAGATTGATTGATACGAGGCACCACCTCTTTACTCGGTGACCCACGAAGCTGAAGCGACGATGTTTCCAGATGCTATTCACGTCACATCTGTTGGCGAGCTAGCCGAGATTGGCTGGATCTGTTGACTCGAGAACAGGCGGCGTAATCCTCGGCTGGATTAGCAACCAATTTTGCCCTCTGAGGCAGAGCAAACATGGCCCAGCAATCCCAGCTGTCCGTTCCGTCGGCTCTGGCTGAAGATATGTCTTGGCTGTCGCCGTGACTGCTCGCTCGTCGATCAACGACACACAGAAAGGCAGGCTGCCCACCACATCTTCCGATGCCCCAATCTGGCTCGCTCGAGACCATTGTCGGAGCAAAAAGATCCCAAGGCCCCCTCAAGACTTCGGCGCGCCCGGTTGAAGCGCCTGCTTTTTCGAAAAGTCATGCGCCGCTGCCCACATACGTCGGCGCGTTCTCCGACGCAGGAAGCCCTGCACCCTCCGTCAGCCCTTCACTTCCGATTTGGGCAGAACGGCGCCATTGAACTGACCTCACCCGGCTGTAGAGAAGGAGCTAGGGCAACCCTAGCAACGAATCGAGGACGAACCAACGGGCGTGGCGCTTAGCATTTCAGAACTGGGCCACGCTCCACCTTCACATGCACACGCCCGGGCGCTTATGTCTGAATGTCTCAGATGTGCAGACAAGGAACCGCTTGCGCCAGACGCTAGGCACGCGCCCTGCTTTGTCGCCCCTGGCCCGCCCCTGGGCCTCTCCGCGAACCTGGTTGCCGCCTTCCTTCATCTCGACACCGAACAGACGTATAAACTCCGAAGGAAAAACCAATGGGCGCTCATGACTGGCGGTGGGGGGAGGGGGGACACAGCTCAAAATGTGGGGGGTCTCCGACTTGCGACCCGGCTTCTGTACAATTCTTTGTCGATTCTGAACGCCACTCCGCTCTTCTCGATCCTGAAGTCTTCTCCCGTCATGGCCACGTGCGCACGCCTTCGCTGCGGCCTCATTGTGGCGGCCCGGACGCCGGCGTCAATCTAGCACCACACCGCGCGGGACGCCTCCGCTTCTCGTTGCAGAAGAGAAACGGGAACGCCTCGTGGGAGCATCATGATCCACTGGCCAGCCCACACTGCGAGCCTAGACCCTGTCGCCTTACCATTGCCGGTCTTCCACAATCGATCCCGGAGCGGAGACCGGCTCTGCAAATCACGGCAGGAGCTGATCGGGTCGCTCATCTAAGCCCCTTTCGGAACACGCTGCCAAAGAGCGAGCGGCGATTCGGCGGACAAGGGTGCAAAGGTCAGCCACACTCGAGGCGCCCGTTGCCTTCGCCACAAAAAACGCACGTGGCTGTGGGCTTCTAATACCGCGGAAGACGATGCGATCGCTACAACCGCGTCCTCTCAAGGTCGCATTCGGGCCAGGTCGAACGAATCGAACACGATGATTTGGTCGAGCATTTTAGACCGAGTATTTCAGACTGCAGCACAATCGCGATTCCTCGGGCTGTATCAGTGGGCGGCCCAAGCTGCTCTTGGCGGGGTTTAGGGAGGGGAGAGCCGATCTAGAGCTTGTTGGCCGAGCGGGGGTGCACCTTGTCGAGGTAGGCGAGGATGCGCGAGGCCTCCCTCTCGCCCGACACATACGCGCCAGCGGCCGAGCCTCGGTCTGTACGATGCAATCGTGCGAAGGCGCAGGTGAAAGACAAGGGTCAGCGATCGCTTTCTTGCGTGTTGCGACTCGCGATTGCGCGGCGCACAGGTACTTACGATTGATCTCGGTGTGTTCGCCTGCGAATCCAAGGCGGCCGTTCCACAGCGGACGCGAGAGCGCCTCAAAGTCGAGCGGCGAGTTGCCGTCAGCCGTCGAGACGGGCGAAGTGGTGGCACCGCCGGTGAAGGGCTGCTTTGCCCACCTCGAGTAGAAGATGTGCTTGGGACCCGCATGCTGTGCGGCCGGATCGATGCGGGCGGTCAGGTAAGCGTGCAGCGCATTGCCGGCATCGACGCGCTCGAAAGCTTCAAGCTTCTTGGCCGCGTTGGCGCCGACCATGACGAGCAGCGAGTCAGACGCCCCCTTACCGGCAGCTGCACCATCGCCAGCAAGCGAAGATACGATCAGAGTGGTCGAAGCGTACAGCTGCCACAGCTGCTTCTGCTCGTCGCTCTGCAGCGATGCTGGCGCCGGCTGCGACGAGGGGAGAACGAGGAAGGTGCCTGTATTGGTGCTCCACCACGGCTGATCGTAGTTGAGCAGCACCTTGTTCAGGTTGCCCACCGATACGCGCTTGATCGTTTCGAGACGGCGCTCGGGCAGCGAGGGCTCAAACAGGCCGCCAGCGTTCTTCTTGAGCACGGCGATGGGGATGGTGACGAGCGCGGTGCGCGCCACGTACTCCTGCCCCTGCTTGGTGGTGATCTTGACGTTGGACGATGCTTCGTCTCGCACCGCCTGCACCTCCTGGCTGGTGTGAATAGCCGCACCGAGCGAGGTGATCTCGTCGACGAGCTTGTTGATGATGGTGGTGAAGCCGCCTTGAGGGGCGGCGTCGGTGCCAGCGAACGCCTGCTCAAAACCGTGCCAACGAAGGCTGGCATCTTCGAGCTCGATGCCGAGGGGGATGTGCAGCAGCCTCGCCACGTCGCGCGCGTGCTTTCGCTCGGTATCCGACTGGAGATTCTCGAACAGCGGCGAGGCATCGTTGAAGAGGAAATCGGCGAGCGACGAGCTGGGGTTGGGCGCTTGGGCGTTCTTGTCGTGAGCATGCGCCTTGGCAGCATCCTGTGCACGACCGAGATTGGCAGTCAGCTTCTCGGAAAGTGCCTGCGGAAGAGGACCTTTATCGCCGACGACGACGGTGTCTCTGGGCTTGGGGATGGTGACGGGGATGTTGTACTTGTCGGTAAGCTGCTTGAGAGGGCTGCCTTCGAGGTAGCCGTGCATCCAGGAGCAGCCAAAGTCGCACCAG